AGACGTCCTCTCCAACTTTCCCTGATGTTCCCTTTCTACTCGTCGAGTATCCCCCTTGACTCGACGAGATCCACGTGGAAGAATCGCGGGCCACCCCGACTCCACTCGCCGAGTCTGAAGAACAACTCGGCGAGTCCCAGTGAATCTTCAAGCTACTCGCCGAGTCTGTTCATTGGACTCGGCGAGTCCATGCCATGCAGTCGATCAACTGCTTCCTGAAATACGTATGGTCCCGAAATACACAATCATGGGACTTTCTGGACCTCTAAACATCCTATTACTGGGGTATAAACGTTTGGGTAACAACATAATAATCCATCTAATCACCAAATGGGTTTCATAAACCCTAAATCCGTGTACACATCAAAATAACAGGAATGATCCGAAGTATTACCTGAAAAACGTACTCTCTGTGTCCCCAAACCTCAGAACTCGATCCCCTTGATCTTCCTTTGGCCAAAACCCTTCCTCTTCTTGCCTAACAAATTCTTCAAGGTTCCAATAGCCTTCACTCCTGCTCTAGATGTCCACAGACGCTTAGGTTCTTCTCAATCGGCCAAAAGACGGACAATGACGACCTAAAAGGCGTTATATACGATCCAAAACCAAACGAATAGGGTTTCCGCTGAACAGCGCAGACTCGCCGAGTCCATAATGGACTCGTCGAGTCCAGTCGCGAACCCGCGACCCAGTCTGTGGTCCTACTCGGCGAGTCTGGCTCCAACTCGCCGAGTCCCTTCCTAAAACACCCCAAAAACAATATTATAAAAATACCTGAAATTCCGGGCTGTTACACTCGGCGAGTCCTTAGAGTGGACTCGGCGAGTAGCTTGAAGATGAGGAGGAACTCGACGAGTAGGATGAACAACTCGTCGAGTCGGATGAAGTTAGGCATGGACTCGGCGAGTTGGATGAGCAACTCGACGAGTTGGTTGAAGATTATCTAGGACTCGGCGAGTCTGTTCTTGGACTCGGCGAGTCAGATCGCGAAACCCTAAACCCTTCGAGTTGGGGCTCGAATCAGTGAGTCGGGTGGTGACTCAGCGAGTTGGACAGGACAAGACTTGGAACTAGTTGGACTCGGCGAGTCATGGATTGACTCGGCGAGTCGAGTCGCGAATAAGAAAGACCCAGAGCATATGAACTCGGCGAGTCAGTAGGTAGACTCGGCGAGTAGGGTTGACCCGGAAGGTTGACTTTGACCAGGATTTTGACCTTGACGAGAATTGACCTAGTGACCTTTGGAGGTCAGTTGGACTAAGTGTTATATTGATATTGGTAGCTCGAGGAGCTAGTGAAGCAGCAGTCGAAGTCAGAGGTCAGGTAACAGTCAAAAGGATTAGCAGCAACAGCTCGGCAACATCAGGTGAGTTTCCTTCCAGTAGGGACGGGTCTAAGGCCACAATGTCGGCCCGTTCAGTTAGCAGTAGTTTTCGGACTTCGATCCGATGCAGTAGTTAGTATGTTTGATGCCTTCATGGCTCAGACAGGATTTATGTGTTATGTGTTCCGGGCTACGGCCCGATGTAGTATGCAGTATATGTGTTAATGCTAGTTGATATGTTATGTTATGCTATGTTCAGCCAGCTTCCGGACTTCAGTCCGATGTAGGGGGCAAGGCCCCAGTTAGTCCGGACTTCGGTCCGATGCAGGGGACAAGGTCCCAGTCAGTTTCCGGAATTCGGTCCGATGCAGGGGGCAAGGCCCCAGTTAGTCCGGACTTCGGTCCGATGCAGGGGACAAGGTCCCAGTCAGTTTCCGGACTTCGGTCCGATGTAGGGGGCAAGGCCCCAGTTAGTCCGGACATCAGTCCGATGCAGTGGGCAAGGCCCAGTATGTGCTTTATATGTTATTGCATGGTATGTGTTAGATTGGGGGAGCTCACTAAGGTTCGTGCTTACGGTTTTCAGTTTTGGTTTCAGGTACTCAGTTTTCAAAAAAGGAGCTCGAGAAGATTGCAGTGCACACACCATAGTCAGATAGCCTGGGAATGTTTGACTCTGATAATGATATTATGTTTTGAATTAATACTCGAGAATTTATGTTATGACTTATGATACAGTTTTTCTAAATATGATTTTAGTAATGTCTTTAAAGAAATTTTTGGGTTGTATTTTCGGATGTTTCATATATATATATATATATATATATATATATATATATATATATATATATATATATATATATATATATATTTGTGAATACATAGTATATTCACTTGTGAATATAGTATGTAATATTAATATTCACAAGTGTATATACTATATAATATTCATATGTGAATATACTATGTAAATCGCTATTATTATGAACTAACAATATATATATATATATATATATATATATATATATATATATATATATATATATATATATATATATATATCATTTTTGATGTGTATTCACATGTTTTTTCAGGCATGGATATTACTCCATAAATATATAACATTTCAATCAATGGTTGGTTCATATCACATTAGTTGACGTAATTGAGAATATA